CCCCCCCCCCCCCCCCCGCCCAAATGCCTAAAGCATTTGTATATGGAAAGAACCTGAAGCAGCTTTTGGAGCAGCCATGTGAGCCTTGGAAAAGATGCAGACACTTTTAAAGATTCAAAGATGGAAACCTTTGGGATACTCCCAAACATTTCAGGACATTTCTGCCAAATGCTTTACACAGCCCTAATCTTCTGAGTTTCTTTACTTGTTAGATTTATTTGCTTCTTGCTTGTTTACTTACCCAGTATGCCACTTTTCCATCAGAACACTCAGGGTCTCTAAAACAAAGTTTAAGGCAGAAACAATAAAACCGAATTATTTCAAACTGAGATATTTTTGTGCTTTTCCAGCATACAATGACAAAATAGTCGCATTTCTACGCCAGCCTAATATTTTTGAAATGCTACAGGAGCGTCAGCCAAGTTTGGCAAGGAACCATGCACTCAGGTACAACAGCCTATAGCTTAATTACTGAATATTCTGATGCAGGTAAGATAGGAAAGATCCTGGGTGAGTAACATGGGGTTTGCTGGTTACTATAGACAGTACTGTAATAAGCTAGGCAAATAGGTAACATGGGCTTTGCACTCGTAAGATCACAGACTAATTGGCTTGCATTTCCAGTTAGAAGATGGAAGCCATTCTCTGCCTAATATAAAGCATCTATACTAAGAACCCTGTTGATTAATAATGCTAATCCTTTAATAATTATTTTATTTATTAATAATCCTTTAATTAATTAATTATTAATTAATTTATAACACATTTAACTTCTGGTGAAAAATCCTTTGACATTACAAAACACAAAAATTAATCCTATTTATTAATAATCCTTTAATAATAATAATAATTAATTAATAATTAATAATATTAAATTATTTAATTATTTTAAAGGATTAATAATAATCCTTTAAAATAATAGTAGAATATTAGAGGCTGAAAAGTATAATCTGATAGAGCTTGTATCAGCAGTATAAATGCCAGTTATAACTAGATTAAGGAATTTCTTGACCATGATGCAGAAATATGACTTCAAATGTGCAATGCTTTGAATCGGAAGCTGAAAAGATACTTCAGAGCAGGCATGGGTGTGCTTGCCACACCTGCTGGCACCTCTGGAGGTTGAGTCATGGCAACTGGACTTTTCTTTTGGTTTGATACATTTCGCTGTTTTGCTGTAGAAGTCATAGACTGAAGAAGCTGCTTGGGCAAGCAGGGAAGCATATCAAACCAAAAGAAAAGTCCAGTTGCCATGACTCAACCTCCAGACAATTCCAGCTGGATGACTGAGAATCTTCATCAACTTACTTCTGGCACCTCCTTGAAGAACTCTGTCTTTTTGTGGACTCACATGGTAGCTGCCTGGTAGTATCCCAGGTAAATAACATATTTGAGTTTAAAAGGTGCTGAAAGCATGCCCACGCCCACTCTGAAATGCCTTGTTGCACCCTGGCAGTTCCTCCTTAATTCAAAAATGTATTTTCCTGGCATTGAGCGGCTATTGGGAGAACTCAGGAAAAGATGCAGCTTCTTCAAGGAGGCACCAATAGTGTGGCATGCAGACCCATGCTCTCTCTGAAGTACATTTTCAGCTTTGGAATTGAAACATTCTACATCCCTAAATATGACTTGTCAATTATTGAGTGATGTTTGGATCACAGTGGTAATTTGTAAAACACCAAGCTAAAATGCCATCCAGCAAGCACATGTTTTGGCAATACTTGATGCTTGATAAATGCCCATATGTGTGCACCCACCATAACCCCACTGTTACAATCCAGAAAAGGTAGCAAGATCAAGAGGCTGGTTTGTCTCATAGTTAGGCTTGACAAGTAGAGCTCACTCACATTATTATGTCCTTTGTATTAGTTCCATTGCACGTTAGCGATTAATATACAGGTCGTGTTCAATTAATGATGCTAAGCGATGCAGTCATAAAGCATGATGTCACACGACCGCGCCAACTTACGTGGGCAGTTCTAGCAGTTCCAGTTGCTAACATTAGGCAAATCCTGCATGGTTGTTAGGCGCAATGTCATGTGATCACCATTTGTGATCTCCTGCTGGCTTCCCCACTGACTGCTTGTTCGAAGCCAACAGTGAAGGTCACAGATGGTGACCACGCAACCGTGGGATGCTGCGATGTCATAATTGCAAGCTGGTTACCAAGTGCCCAAATTGCAATCATGTGACTGCAGGGATGCTGCAACGGCCGCAACTATGAGAACTGGTCATATGTCTCCTTGTTCAGCACCGTTGTAACTTTGAATGGTTGCTGAACAAGTGTCTGCTGAATGATGAAACAGGCTATAATATCATTAAGACTATTAACACTGTTCCTTCTTGCCCTTACCTTATATCCCCCCCTTGCTTTTTTTTTTTTTGCTGGAATTGCTGACTAGTCTGATTTAGTTTATAGGTCTAGACAAAAAGATATTTACTTACAAAGAGTTCACCTTGGCTCCAGAAGACATAAACATTAATAAAGATTTAGATGAGTCAGAATAAGTTAATAAGTTAATTGTTTTTAAAATGCACTTTCCCATTAGGTGATCATTCTGATCACCATCATCAAATTATTTGTTTTGTTTTTGTTTTAAATTAATTTCAGTAATAATACCTGAAAGTCATATTTTTATGTGTGTAATGCATTTGTAGCCTGATCCATTTATCTGTGGATCATTTTCTTCAACTCACAAGATTACTAAGTATCCCAAGACAGCTGCCTAGTCTGACTGTTTACCTTAGTTTTTAATCAAAATTCCTTCTGGCTCTCTCTCTATATTTATCCTGTAGTAACACCTAAAATATTCTTACTTGTTCAACTGACATTGTCCAATGGAATATTTGTCCTGCTTTAAGTCAGGAAAGTACAACCTTTTTTGGGCCAAGAACCACACTTGGACTTTGGACTGTGTTCCAGAGCTACAGTTAGACGCTTGAGAGGAAATTCCAGAAGAATTAAGCATCTTGTGCCCTCATCCAAATGCATGTCCGGTCTTTTCTTTCCCCCTCAAAATCACCTATTCCAAGTTCTAGTATGGAAAACTGGTTGTTAAGCTAACAGTTTAGGAAATTTTATATGTAAATAATTAGATACACAGTTATTCTTTCAGAAAGAAGGAAAAAAGTCACCCTTCTTACATTCTTTGGGTTGTACAATGGTACAAAGCTAAACAAAAGTTACAATATAGAGAAATTTGCCTATTTGTTTCACTTTCTTAAACTATTCTGTTTCTACCTCTTTCTCCAAAATAGAGTATTTCCTGACTTTAATTTGTGGCAGAATTTTCACAGCCTGCTACCTCATAACCCAGGAATAACCCAAACCTAAGTCCTTCAGACCTATGTTCCCATCAGCCCCAGACATTATGACTAATAGCAAGATTTTGTGAGAATTATAGTCTGGAGGTACCAGGTTGTCTACTATTTTGTCTCAGTTCTTTGCCTCTTTCCGCCTTATGTTTCAAGCCTCATCCTTCTTTAATCAATTCTTCCCTCACATTTTTGATTCTCAGCCCACTGCTCACTGTGCTTCCTTTACAACTTTCCCTTTTCTCACTGTGGACTGCACTGTATTTTGTAATGTCAAAGGATTTTTCACCAGAAGTTAAATGTGTTATAAATTAATGTGGACACAAACATTAACAAGCTTTATCAGAGAAACCAAGTTAAATTTGTGCACTGTTTTATATTGGTTTTTTGAAGAGAAATGGGATCAGTGTAGGAGAAAAGAAATGCATGTTTCTTTTCTTTTATAGTATTTTAGTTTATATATGTGTTAATTCTCTAGGGAGAAGATCCACTATATTCGGACAGAGGGTACACATGGACTTGAAAAGTTGTCTTGTGATGCAGATTTAGTAATACTACTGAGGTAATATACTTGATAATTAGATGGTTTCTTTTAATATCTAAATCCTTCCTTCCAAAAGTAGTTACTTCATATTATCCAACAAAACTCATAGTCAAAAAGAAAATTTTACATATTTTTGGTTATCAAGGATGAGTATTTTATTACAAAGATATGAGCAATCCTAGAATTAGAACTAAGTATTAATGGTTTTTTAAAAAGGAAATTAAATGAAAACATGTAGTGAAAATATGTTTGCATTACGTGGGCAGTGAAACTCATATTGGCTTTCTATAGAGGATGTTTTCCTAACTTAAAAAGGCTCCTTTTGTTCAATTTTTATTCTTGGGTTTGGAATCTGTAAGAAGCAACAGAAAACAGTGAAACCAAGATCCTGTTATATTGCATATGAACACTAACTGCAGAGCTGGTTGAGGATGTCAAATAAGTTTGCTCTCTCCCATTTACAGTAAATAATTTTCTCTGCTTGCTTTGGCTGGAGAAACTTTAAGCCCTCTTAAAAGATTGCCATCTAAGGCAGACACTCTGTAACACACGTAATAAACCAGTGGGTGAAATTTTCCCTGAACATCACATTTCTGGGCATTCTTGCACATAAACAAACCAAACTTCTCCCACTTCTCTCTGTTTTAGTCTTTTTGAAGAAGACATTATGTCCTACATTCCTCTTCAAGCAGCCTTCCATCCTGGCTACAGCTTTTCCCCTCGCTGTTCACCTTGCTCATCACCTCAGAATTCTCCAGGTAAAGTACTCAAGGGTAGCATCTGTGGCTAGATTTATTTTCTATTACCCCCCCCCCAAAAAAAATACAACAGCAAAAGAACACACAACTATCCTGTCTTTTTTTTTTTAGATCTCTCTCTCTCTCTCCCTCTCTCTCTCTCTCTCTCCCCCCCCCCCCCCCCCCCCCCCCCC